TCATCGTTATGATTTATTTGCCTGTGTGTGCATTTGTCTGACTGATGGTAATTCACTTTCACAAAGCTGAATTCACCGGGTTGATTCAATCATGATGCTCATGCAGTGTACTAATCCACTGCAATGATGGATTTCATGGCATTGGGTGACACCAGTTACCTGTGTGTAAATGTGTGTCTGTGTGTGTATGTGTGTGTATGTGAAACTCATCCTGAGCATCGTCTCTGTGCTTTACAACAGTGGACGAGTGGCAAAAGAGGTGATGGAGCAGAGTGCCAAAATCAAACGCGAACCTCCAGAAATACACAGGTAGAGTTTTAAACTCACGAGAGCTCAGAATGTCCTCAACCAGATTTTTGTTTTGTTTTCCTCTATTTTCTTAGGCACCAAGCTACTGTAGATGTCTTTAAATCCACAACACCTACACGCTACAGTATGAGTTACCTCCACTTGTAGTGATCTCTCTGCAGTTACATTACTGCATCTGTATCTTTGTTGTTCTCCGCAGGGCTGGCCTGGTGCCCAGCAGAAGTTGTCCATCCATCACCCACGGGCCTCGCCTCACCAGTGTACCGCGCACACGTCGGAGAGCCGTGCACATTTCTATCATGGAGGGTAAGAACTGAGCAGCACTCCTACGCTTCTCCTAAGGCCTAAACACTTACCTGCTGGGGACAAATGTGTGTTTTACAAGACATGTATTCCGTAAATGCCTCCCACACAGTCATCCTCACACACTGCAACATGTCAGACATTGCTGTTTTATGATTATTTAGAATTTATCTATAATTGTAGTGAAGTATAGTGATTTGTTGGGTGTTAAATCTGATCAAATTGACCTTAATAGTTATACCAGTCTTCCTGGCAGCGGTTATTTTCTCACTCTTCAGATATAATTACTGATAATGCGTTACAACTGGCTGGTCCAAAGTCTTTAATGTATTAGTGAGCCTTTAGTCCAATTTGTGCCAACTCCTCCGCCTTCTTGAAAAAACATACTCCTGCCTACACACACATACACACACATGCCGTAACTTGAGCCATTTGGCCCACTTGATGCTTGCGGCCCTGGTGGGACACGCTGCAGGTGTGTACGTCAGCCTGCTCCACTTCAATGCACAGTTTCAGAGCTGTGTGTGTGAACTTTAGTGGTTGTTTATTTGATGGGCCAACACAGTGGCAGCTCACTCGTTCAGACCACCTGCAAACAGGAACAGGTGGCCTCATTGAGATGGGTGCAGCAGGCGTACTGTTCTCCATGGCTCTGGGTAAAAACAGCAGTGAGACCAATAGACTCTACCTTTCAAGTACATACTGTACCTCTTTGTACAGGGAGATAAAATAGATATCAGGAGCAGGTGTACTGTGTATATTGAGGGTCTTTTGCTGCTGGTTCAAGAGAGACATAAGAGCTTCCCACCCCCAGTGTGTGCTGACTGGATGTCTTACAGTGGTATTAATACCCCAGCTGAAAATAGCCTTGGTCTTCTGCTCCATGTATGTCACTGGCCCGGGTGTGGCCAAAGCAGGCCAGACCAATGGTGACGATTGTAGCACTGCTGCAGAAAGCCACCGTTTTACCTCACACACTCCTCTCCGCTAACCGCAACTAAGGCTGATCCCCTTGGCCCAACACACACTCTCACACACACAGGGAGACTGTGGCCTGGACTCCGGGACAGGGACCATAAGGACGGAATAAACACGTGCATGCCGCAGCCATGGTGAAGTGTCTGATCCGTATCACCACCCGGGTGAATGTCCACCTGCGTATGATCAACCATTGCTTTCGAGATGTGAAGGTTCGCGTACTGAGCCTCGGGCCCCGTATGCTGGGCAAGGCCCTGGGCGTCCTCCCCCTTTACCCTTCCCTGATGGGGCAGGAGGAGTCCGCCAGCGTCACCCCTCTAGCTGGCACTCCACTGCCCCCCGTTCAACCCAGCAACCCTCCAGGTAAAGTCATCCCAGAGCTAGCTAGCGGTGTGCTTTACATGGAAGTGGCAATGGCTTTCTCAGGTTTAAATCAGTCTCTGCCTCAGCAATGGTGGTGTGGGAGCAACACCATTCCTCTGTGTGTCTGTGCCTTTTGGAGGGCTATAAAAAAAGTTTTTTAGTTTTGTTTGTTGGTTGAATTATTTGTTGATCTTGCAGCTATATTTGGCTTCAACCAGTAAACAATTAAGAGGTGAAGTGTTTTTATTGGCATTTCTCTTAAAACAACTTGTGAAATAAAAATAAAAAGGTCATGTTTTTTCTGCTTGTTGCTTTCCTGTGGTAAGCTTAATGTAAGCAGTGGCAGATCAACACTGAGTAAAGATGGCCGCTGACAGTCACTCAGCCTTTATGCCTCCTTTTAGCTGACAGGAGTTTAAAGTCAGCAGAAGCTTAGGCACCGGACATAATCGGTCCTACCTTTCCTGCAGTTTTAAAAAAAGTCCCTTTTATGATTTGCTTCCTCAACAAAAGATTAATTTGAATCTTTTCCATTAAAGTGAAGGTGTAGTGTTGCTCTGGAGAATGTGATAGGGTCAGCGAAGGGCTCATCCTCACTGACATGTACACTGTTGTGAGGCTCTCTCTCACATACTGTACTGTCACTTCATACTGCAGATGGGACTGTACAGAGACTTTTACATGCAGATATACATTTCAGGTTTTACCATACCATTTCTACCATGGGAAGTTCCCTTTGATATCTACAGTATCAGAACATCTTTGTTGGAAATGTTGCAAGTCAATAAGCGTCACTGTTTTATGACTTTTTTAAAGTTATGTATGATTTTAGTTTCAATTTTATGAAGTATTTTGATTTGTTGGGTGTTACATCTGATGCAATTGGCCTTAACAGTTATACCAGTCTTGCTATTTATCCATATACAGACTTTCCTTCATCACAATATCAAATGGCATATACAGTAAAATAATATATTATCTAGCTCATTCTTATGGATTTAAAATATGTTTGCCTGCCATTTCCTTTTGGTTGGTATAGTCTTTGACAGTTTGGTGTTGATAAAAGCATGTTGGTTTACATTTTTCAAAAAGCGTAAAAGCCTTTTTTAAGTCTCTCTTAAAATAACAGCCACTTGACCATTTTTGGTTGCTTCAACTGCTCAGTGTTTATGCAAAACACTACGGCTAACTAGCTCTGTTAAACATGTTTGCAGGCCACATATATTTAGTCATATAATTTCAGCTGAACATTGCAAAAATTGACAAGACTGTGGATTTAGAACCCCTCTCCTTTTATATTGAATAACATTGGAAAGGGATGTCCTCCCATCCAATGTTGACAGGTTATGGCTACGTCAATATTATATAGATATTGTTATATTATGTAGATATAGTAAAGTGAATTCATTTAGTACATTTAGCAGACTGTTCTAGTGCTTCAATTATTTCCCAGTTAGTCATTATGTCATAATTACTGATGATTATTTATCAAAAATCCCATTTTTGTGCTTTTAAAATATTTCTTCACAGCACAAGACTGAACCCTACAATGTTTTTGCAAAATCGATATCAAGCTATTTGGTCAAAAAAGATTGTGATATTTGTTTCTCTAGAACAGGGCTTGTCAGTGTGGTTTTAATACAGAATGGTATGTAAGCATATCCTTGATCCTTCTGGTTTGTATTTATGTTTAATTGCAGCTCTGTTTAAAGGTCAAGCGTTCCTTTACAAGTATTCAACACAACCGAGACATATCAAGTCATCTAATATCTAAAGTAGGATCATGGCTGTAACCTCTTTTTATTTTTAAGGATAAGGACTCCGATAGAGCTAGTCGAGATAAAGAGACGATGTTGGCTATCTTAACTAGCTTTTTAACTAACTTGTATTCTCTGCGGTTAAACTCTACACTTCCAGTACAAGTGAAACATGATGATCTCCTCCATTAGGGAGCATGATAAGGCATCACATCAGCTCATGAGCTTTCTATGAAACTACTATAGAGACTGTGTGTCTGTGCTCAGTTGCACAAACAGCAGAATTGACCTCTCAGCATTTAGAAGCAGATTTACAGTATAACGTGTCAGTGAACGCCACACTAGTAGCTTATAGATTCTACATTTATAAAACACTTATCATGCTATAGAACGTGTGTAACATTCCTTTCTTCCTGTCTGTTTCCCTCCCGCTCTTCCTCCCTGAACCCCTCCCTCAGGTCTGGAGTCGTTGCGGGACAGTGCCCACTCCACGCCGGTGCGTTCAGTGTCCCATGGGGATTTCATGCCACGCTCCCGGAGCCAGGCCACAGACGCCAGTGAGAGGACTGCGGTGATCTCTGACGAGGCGTACAGCCCCTCCGACAGCGTGCTTCCCACCTCGGTGTCCGAGCACAGCGCGGAGCTGTCCGCCTCCCGCCAGAACAACGGGGCGCCCTGCAGCATCGAGGAGGAGAAGGAGTCGGAGGCAGGCACCCCGCGTGGGGATGGGGGAGATTTAGGTGCGGAGGGTAAATCCGCACAGGAGGGTGCTGGGGGGGACTCGACCCTCAGCGAGGTGGAACAGGTGAATAAATTTGTCTTAAGCGTCCTGCGTTTGCTCCTTGTGACCATCGGACTCCTCTTTGTCTTGCTCCTCCTCCTCATCATCCTCACAGAGTCAGACCTTGACATTGCATTTTTACGTGATATCCGCCAGACCCCCGAATTTGAGCAGTTCCATTTCGAATACTTTTGTCCCCTCAGGCGGTGGTTTGCCTGCAAGCTCCGCTGGGTGGGCGGGTTGCTCATTAACAAGTGAGGGGAGGTCGTAGAGTTCGTAAGCCCGCTCGGGGTCTGAGGTGACGGTTAGGACTCCGGAGCGATGAAGGGCAGCCTCGGCCCCAACATGAACCCTGCTCCTCATCCTCCTCCTGCAGACACAGCCTCTCACCAGGCAGGATCTCTCCTCCTCTCCTCCACTTTGATTTAACCCCCCCACCACCCAACCACCTCCTCGTTTTGCTTATTTTCTTCTTCTTTTTTTCTACAAAACCAGAGGACATGTTTTGCATTTTTTTTATTTCAACTCATTTCAGGTATTTTATTTTTTCAAATAACACAAAGGAAAAAATTTTAAACTGGAATCGAAGGACTGGAGATGTTTAAACAGTTCCTATCACAAGGACTGGAGAGTTGCAACCGATGAGCGTTGCCTTCAATTATTATTTAATGTTTTAAACGTGTATTTGAAAGAGAAGGGAAAGAGATAAACAGCAATCGAGGAAGTTGATTTGTCATTACATGAAGATGGAAGTGAGTTATATCAGGGTCGATGCTGCTCTGAAGAATATATGAGGCACTGTATTATAATATCGTTTGATATTGGTTCATCCCCATCAGATGCATTTAGACAAATGGCAGATTCAACTCAGCGGGAAAAAACAGAACAATCTGAAGGGAATAAAAATGAAGGTTTATGAAGCAGAGAGCAGACGGGATGATTACCAAATGCCTTTTTGAGAAGATGTTGATGATTGAAAGTTGTTTTAAGACACCATTACACTTTACTGTACAATGGTGAACAAAGTAAACTGATGAAGAACAAGGGTGTTTTTCTAACATTTATTATACAGTCAAATAAACCAGTACCAATAGTGTTATGTGACCCAGTAGTGTCAGAAGCAGTTAGAGGGGTATTCAGAAAGATTTGCTTGCACCATAGATTATAGTCTAGATAGAGGGGCAATGCTCATATGGTTTGAATAATGAAGTACTTTGAATGTGCTCATTTGTTCAGTTGTTCTCTTATTTCTCCAATTAATTTGATTTGCATTTTTTCATCTAGTTGAAATTCGATGAATTTCAACAATTTCTTTGTATGAAGAGTTTATGATTTATTTTGGTTTCATATCAACCTAGCTCTTAGGTTTATGTAACATACTATATATTATTATTATTATTAGAATAAGAATAATGATGTACTTTTTGTACAAATTAGTTTGTTTCCTAATATATATTGACAGGTTTTCCATGTATATTTTAACAGAACTGAAATGTTATTTTGTTATTGAAGATTAAATTATACCTTTTTTAGCGCTGTGTAAGGTCAGAAGTATTTATGGAAATGTGGAAGTGGGGACTAAAGAACAGGGTTTTTATCCAGATCCACTGAACACTGCTCACACCTCGTATCACTTCACCAGCAGTCACTCAGCAATGTTAATGAACATGTCTCGACGAAAGGAAATCTGCAGATATCATTATACCACCACAAATACCAAATAATCCAAAAGCACATTTCCACCTTTCATAACTTTACAATATGTATTTTTTACTTGAAGAGTTTTAAGAGGTGACTTCTAGCCTGATCGATACCGAGTCTTTTCACTTATTCCTTAAACCCATGGCCTATACTCAACGTAAAAGTTAAAAAAAAATATATATTGACATCATTACTAGAGCTGAAAAACATATTTTGAAGATTTTCTGATATCTTTTATTCCATTATTGTTCATTGAATTTATTTAGGTTTTGTACAGTAGGTACGATGAAAGAACTCTATTTAAATTATATTGCTGTTGGTTGGGAGATTTTCACTATTTTCTGACATTTTATTGGCCAAACAATGAATCAATTAAACTAGAAAAGAAGGGACAGATGAAGCGTTATTTAAATAATTGTTAGTTGTTGCCCCGAACAAATGTTTGTCACTAAAAGACTGAGAATTAATAATGAAATGGGCCAGGCAGGAAACTGCATAATATAAGTAGTACATTCTAAAGGTTTCTTTTGAAGATTTCTTTTTTTGAATAATGCAATTAAATTACTTTCCTGGAATATTATATCAGCCAAAACTAAATCAGGCACCAACATATCTGAAAAGCGCATATTGGCGAATAATATCTGCCCTTAGTTTTGTCGGTCAGGCTCTAGGCGCTTCTGCCTCTCAGCTCCAGGAAGCAATAACTGCGAAGGCTGCTGGATTCTGGGTAAAATCTGTTTTTTATATTGCGTGTCTACCTCCTGCACCAAGTGCAGGTGTAAGTGTTACTCTGTCTGTGTGTAGGAATGGAAACAGGGCTCAATGTGGTAGTATTAGATGGAGAGGAGTACAAATAAAAACATGTAAAAAAGAGCAGGAGAAGGACTAAGAGGGAAGAAATGAAATGAGGTAGATTAGACTGAGAGATATCAGAGGCCTTTGGGAGAAGCTCTTTAAAAGTGTGATTTAAGAAACAGATTGGGAAAGAAAGGCACTCAGTGAGTCATCAGTCCAATGGCTGTACAGGGTTGCTTGTTTTGGCCTGCTAGCTCCAAGCCGACCCTCTCCTACCAGCAGCTGCTCCACTGAAGTCCCGACGGTGCTACCTTCCTTGTTGCTCCTGAGTAATCGGAGCGTGTCCGTCCGGGGCTGAGTTGTAGTCCTTACCACAGAGTAGCATGCACTTTGGCGTTGTGGCTGGATCCACTCCTGTAGCTTGTTATCCTCCACCAGTTATCTGTGGTCGAGTGAGCAGCACCGACATTTCCCAGCGGGACGCTAGAGGGAATATAAAATCATTAGAGCTATGTTGGCAAGAAACCTGTCATACATACATTGTAGGAGCTTATTTATGTCAAGATAATAATGTGTAACTTGGATACATCCAGATAAATAGCAATGTGGAGATGAAGCACATTTTCCCTACGGGATGGAGAAGGGTGGGCTTTCTTCTTTGTGCACATTCATTCTTCATATTTATTACTTATTTACTGACATACAGGTCAAGGGGATGAGTTGTTAGCAGGACATATTCAAGGTCAGTCTGCAAAGGTGAATACATTGATCAGCATTATGTAGCTTTAGTGGTCCCTCTGAACATGCAACAGTGTAAAAAAAAAGGCAGCATTATTCAAAGAGCAATAATCAGCTGTACGAGGATATACAAACATATGTTTGAAAATTAGTAAGTCAAATACGTCCTTTCTGTTTCTAGAAAATCACTTACCAAATTGCTGTCGTACTCTAACAATGAAGTGACCACTGAGACACGTAGTTACTGTTGCGGTCATGGATAACATTTTCTAAAAAGAAATGTTCCTTAAAAACCTCTGTGTGGATGTTTGTTCTGCTGTTTTCTTCGATGTTTCATTAAGTGACAGTGAGTGTTTCTTGTGCCTGGATCCTAACTGCAGTTTACCAAAGTGACAAAGATGAAGGAATGGAGAAATGAAAGACACAACATCTTTCACAACTGTACTACAGACTGCGCCATTCTTAAATCTCCCACGTCGAGAGGGAAACACATCTGTGTGCAACTATTTGTGTCTGTCTTAATTTGTCCTTTTTCCTCTGAAAAACCTTTCACAGGAAAGCTTTCATTTTACATTTCAGTTTCAGTGTCACGTTTACATTATGTTACTGTTATTTTACTTCATGGGATATGTCTGCAGTTCTGATCAGATGTTGACTTTTGAAGTGTTGTTGTCATCCATGGTTTACAGATCAGAAACAACTTGCCCGTCTCTTAAAAAAGCAGCAGTGAAGGTACAGCCTGCCAATACAATGTGGTGCGTTGAAGACGATGCATTGATTCTTGTTTGGATATAATACACAGGGGATAGACTAAATAACAGAAACACCCACATTATATAATGTAACAAACAAGAAACAGACCCTACTTATAACATTTCATAAGGCGTGTCAAAGGGATGTTACGGGGCTTTTCTAAGGTTGTACTGTGAGGTGTTTTTGTTATATGGCCACTCCCTACGTATTTATAGCAATCATCTGAAATCTTAATAAAAGTCTCAAAAACCAACATAGGCAATGTATGACAAAGGAAGGTTTTCATTGGTCATCCTTTAATATTTTTGTTACTAAGGTGTCGATTTCTTTTTATAACATAATCCAGTTAATACGATAGCAATCAAATGATTTATTCACAATTGGTTACCTTGATTTAACTCCTGGCCAAAATCCCTGCCAGATCATTGTGGATGATGCATGTAGAAGTGAGGGGTTGACATTTGGAAGTGTTCGTAACTGAAGACATCTGAATCTGCTTTTTGGCCATCAGCTCGCAGTAGACCCTCACACAGTGCATACACATCACTGCAGTTAATGTATATGCATATTCAGATCAGGTGGTGTGTTATGTGGTCTGCATTGTTCTATCCTGAGTGTAGATCATTTAATTGCATTATATATACCAGTATAAATATATATAAATATATAAATCCATGTGCCAAATCCAGTTCTTGTTCAGTCCGATCCATTCCGAACCCATGTTTGTACTGTAGGTTACCTCCTGTACAAGTCAGTATAAAATATTGTTTCTCTCCAATATTCTCTTGTAACTGGTGCCATTCAATTCAACTATTCAAACTTGAAATAAACATTGAAAAAGAAATGCATTATGGCTCTGTGGCTTTGTGGTACCCACACAAATTCAGCACAGCTTGCTCTTATCTACTGAAGAAAATCATCTGAAAGTGTTAAATTAGTCTTTAATTCAAAAAAAGAAGGATTTCCATCAAAATGAGAATTACAAAAGTCAATAAAAGAACTGTACAAAGCATAAATATACAACCTTAGCATTATCCATAACAGGTAAACACTTTACAACAATTACTGACAACAACTGGTTTCAAAGCGTCAGATCCAGAGGCCAGTCCTAGCCCAGGTGTGAAAAGACTGGTTTCAGGAAGGGTCTCTGGTAGGTTTGAGGGGTCGGGACGGCCATGAACCCCGGGGCCCGGCCTGCTGATGCAGCTCCTGCCGAGCTTCTGCCCCCCCGGCCTGCAGCAGCTTTATAACCCCCTCTGGAGTTGGACGATGACCACGTCTTATTGCCGCCGTTGCCGCGACTGAATCCGCAACACAGCAAGACAGGAGGAAAAGAGGAAATAAGTTTCAACTGTAAAGATAAGCTTAGTGCTAAATACGATCCTCAGCTACATGACAGAATGTGAGACAAACACAATACAGACCCTTTAGAGCCGGCACTTTGGTTTCCATAAGCTTTCTTCTTAGCATATTTGAAGAATGGGGCTTTCTTTCTCTTCTGCCCCTGCGCTGACTGACTGCCGAAGTAGGTGGAGGACTCTGCGTCCTCCTCGTCCCCTCCGTATGAGCGGCCTTGTGCCGTGTCTATCCAGCCGTCTGCAGCCGTGTCAGTCGGTTCCTCTATTACAGAGACAGAAGTAGGATCAATGTGCAGAAAGTCACAAAGTAAATGTGTTAAAAACAAACTTAAAAATGTAAAAACTTGAAATGGCTCTCTTACCCGCCTGCTGCCACGCAGAGTATTTCTGTAGCACCTGGACGACTTCGGCTCCGTACTTCTCCAGTTTGTCTTCCGTCACGCCATCAATTTGTAGGAGGACTTCAGGGTTGGAAGAAAGCCTCTCTGTTGGAAAATGTCAACAAGTTAGAAAATGCTTGTGGTATCATACAACAGATTTAAAGCACAGTGTTAACAGTTGCTCCACAAATTACCAGATATCTTTTTCAAGGTGGCGGTGGAGAAGATGTTGTAGTAGTGAATGCCAAAGGCCTTCCCCAGCTGCTTGCACAGATCCAGCAGCTCCTTCAGACACTCCTGCACCTTCTGCTCTCTCTGGGAGACGTCCTTAGACACAGCAGCTTTGTGTTTCCTGATGCTCGACGCACTCTCCGTCTCGTAGAACTCCACCTGAGATCAGACATGTGCTGGTTAGTGTTGTGAGTGTTTAAATGTTACATATCTAGCTCTCTAGGGTCGCTATAGATCACCTGCATGTTTCCTGACAGCACGTTCATGGCTTTGTCTCCGGCAGAGATATACGCCACAGCCTGGCCGCCTTGAGTGATGTACAGATCCTCCATCAGGATGTTGTCCAGAACCATTTTTTTGAAAAGTCGGTCAGCATTGTGCCTGGAGTAGGCTCCTCCTGTCCCGAACATTCCCGTCTGCACCTTGGCAGTTTTAGACCCTGACGGAGAGAAACAATTCTGTGCATCAGATAAATCCCAGTTCCCGCCACATGAAGTATAAACTTCACAAGACACCGTGCAGGGGACACTGGCCAAATGGCTTTCATTACAGGCATGTGCTTTACCTAAAAAGATGTCCACCAACATGTTCAGTGTTAGTCTGCTCTGCTGAGCGGTGCGGCCAAACCTTTGTCCGACTTTCTCGCAGTTCTCCTGGACAAACCTCACGATCTTCTTCACATCATCAGAGACATTTCTCACTTTGTATTGCTGTACATGGGGATAATCAAACAATATTGCTGGATTAGACAAAACTGCCGAGTTGAGTTTGCTTTGTAACAAATGAAGAAATGAATGACTCCTACGTTGGGTTTGGCGCAGTTGTCACAGCTGACGTCTGGGTGCTCCTTACAGAAGCTTCGGTTGAACTTCATCTCCCCGAAGTATGCGAGCAGCTGGATTCTCCTGCACTCCATCATGTTCTCACAGAAGTGCACCATGCAGTGCAGGTTGTTCAAATGAGTCGCCTTGGCCTGTCTGTCCCCTTCTTTGTCCACTGGGATTTAAAAAAGAAAGAGCAATACGAGTCAACATGACTATTATACACTGAACAAAAATATAAATGCAACACTTTTGTTTTTGCTCCCATTTTTCATGAGATGAACTCAAAGATCTAAAACATTTTCTATATACACAAAATAACCATTTCTCTCAAATATTGTTCACAAATCTGAAAAAATCTGTGATAGTGAGCACTTCTCCTTTGCCGAGGTAATCCATCCCAACACACAGGTGTGGCATATCAAGATGCTGATTAGACTGATTGCCAAGGCACA